ATTTGACAAGCTACTCCCGTTCTTGAAAGAGTTTTGGGGTCAGGTACACTTACACAAAGTTGTCTGTTGCGGATGTTCGGCCGCCCATGAGAAAAATTCCTGCAGGCGCCCAGGGCTGTCACTGTTGGGGTATTGGGGGTATTGGCTGCATGGCCATCCAAACGTCACTTGACCAGTCACTCATATCTTTACTAGAACGTCGGCATTTGCCCGCGTATCGGCCCCACATCATGGCATTCAAGGCAAAAGCTACTACAGCCACCACCAGCCACAGGACGAAAAATACTCCCTCCAATACTCCGGTAGGTAACAAGAAGGGAAACACCGGGGTTCTAAGACATTTGGACCAGTAAGGCTGAATGATTCATACACACCACTCCAGTGTAGAGGCATTAGAAGTTTCAAGAGCTTTGCAAGTGTGGAATTACAAGAAGGAAACTTTTCTAGCGATTGTACCTCGCATCCATATAATCATCTGTGGTCGAATGGCTAAGTGGTGTTTTTTTCTTAGAAAATTGTGACGGATAAAAAAGACGATACATACCTCAAGCTTAATTGCTTAAAGGCGTCTGCTTCTCCACATACTTAATGAATTTATAAGTTTAGAAGTTATTTCCTTGATTTAAGCCACAATGATGAGTACATCCATGTTTTTACCTCCCACGCGACTGGAAAGAAGTTAAGAAGTATTGTAATATCGAAAAATATCGAAAATGAGATGTGTTTTATTGAATATTATATGAAATGAGCAGGAAAAAAACATGTCACTCATTTCTATCGGTCTGTCTGTCGACCTGTCTGATTATTGGTCTGTCGGTCTTACTGCCTGTCTTTCGGTCTGTCCTGTAATCCTTGGCACGTCTATAACTTGGAAAGTGAAGCTCAAATTTTGACGAAATATTTTAACAAGGTTACTACTAAGCCTAGGAAGAAACTTTGTCGTTTTTGAATCGGTGTAGGGGCGATAGAGATAGGGGCAAACAACAAAAAAAATAAAAATTGATCAAAATTAGTTTTTTAACTTTTCGAGTGTGGATGATTGTATGGGATAAGGGAGGTGATATTTAATTTTTTTTCACGTTAGTGCATTTACTATATGCTCCCAACCCCACTAATTCGATGCACATATTAGATATTTTACACACCATAGATTTTCCACTTTATGCTTGATGGAGGATTGAATGAAGAAAAAATATGTTCGTCAGGCGCATCTCTCGATATAATACGTGAGTCGCGATCAGACCGATGCATTTATTTCGCAATCGGTAGTGGCTGCCGTACTGCCGTAGATCGTCATCCACGCTAGGTTAGTCACACGTAACGTTCATGTGTGCCAGCAGAAATTTTTAGCAGACGGGTGGAAGGAGGTTATTTACCCAGAAGAGATAACTTTTTGGGAAAGCGTACTTGCCTCAAAAACTTTTTGAAGAACGGGAGTAGTAAATGTTTACAGGGAGGTATCCTAAACGGTCCAAGATTGTTCACAAAAGCATGCTAAATATGCAAGTTTTTGTTTCAAACATAACCCTTTATGAACTGATGGCAGCGTTGCATGGGAAGTACACAGTCAACAGCGGCGTAGCTTGCCCCGCAGTGGTAACATACCAAACTTTGGAAGGGGGGGGACACACCCAACTATGGCAAATCTCAAATGGATTCACCCACGTTTCGTCCAAATAGTAAATTTTTCTTTTTTCATCGCGAAACTTCCGAATCTTCCTTCTCCACACAAGAATTTCTTCTTTCTCTATTAACATACTGTTTCTTCCCCGTTTCCCCCTCTGAGAATGCGATTGGACCTTAAAACTTGCATATATGGCATACCTAACTTTGTGTATAATTTTGGGGATTTTTAGGATTTGACAAGCTACTCCCGTTCTTGAAAGAGTTTTGGGGTCAGGTACACTTACACAAAGTTGTCTGTTGCGGATGTTCGGCCGCCCATGAGAAAAATTCCTGCAGGCGCCCAGGGCTGTCACTGTTGGGGTATTGGGGGTATTGGCTGCATGGCCATCCAAACGTCACTTGACCAGTCACTCATATCTTTACTAGAACGTCGGCATTTGCCCGCGTATTGGCCCCACATCATGGCATTCAAGGCAAAAGCTACTACAGCCACCACCAGCCACAGGACGAAAAATACTCCCTCCAATACTCCGGTAGGTAACAAGAAGGGAAACACCGGGGTTCTAGGACATTTGGACCAGTAAGGCTGAATGATTCATACACACCACTCCAGTGTAGAGGCATTAGAAGTTTCAAGAGCTTTGCAAGTGTCGAATTACAAGAAGGAAACTTTTCTAGCGATTGTACCTCGCATCCATATAATCATCTGTGGTCGAATGGCTAAGTGGTGTTTTTTTCTTAGAAAATTGTGACGGATAAAAAAGACGATACATACCTCAAGCTTAATTGCTTAAAGGCGTCTGCTTCTCCACATACTTAATGAATTTATAAGTTTAGAAGTTATTTCCTTGATTTAAGCCACAATGATGAGTACATCCATGTTTTTACCTCCCACGCGACTGGAAAGAAGTTAAGAAGTATTGTAATATCGAAAAATATCGAAAATGAGATGTGTTTTATTGAATATTATATGAAATGAGCAGGAAAAAACCATGTCACTCATTTCTATCGGTCTGTCTGTCGACCTGTCTGATTATTGGTCTGTCGGTCTTACTGCCTGTCTTTCGGTCTGTCCTGTAATCCTTGGCACGTCTATAACTTGGAAAGTGAAGCTCAAATTTTGACGAAATATTTTAACAAGGTTACTACTAAGCCTAGGAAGAAACTTTGTCGTTTTTGAATCGGTGTAGGGGCGATAGAGATAGGGGCAAACAACAAAAAAATAAAAATTGATCAAAATTAGTTTTTTAACTTTTCGAGTGTGGATGATTGTATGGGATAAGGGAGGTGATATTTAATTTTTTTTTTACGTTAGTGCATTTACTATATGCTCCCAACCCCACTAATTCGATGCACATATTAGATATTTTACACACCATAGATTTTCCACTTTATGCTTGATGGAGGATTGAATGAAGAAAAAATATGTTCGTCAGGCGCATCTCTCGATATAATACGTGAGTCGCGATCAGACCGATGCATTTATTTCGCAATCGGTAGTGGCTGCCGTACTGCCGTAGATCGTCATCCACGCTAGGTTAGTCACACGTAACGTTCATGTGTGCAAGCAGAAATTTTTAGCAGACGGGTGGAAGGAGGTTATTTACCCACAAGAGATAACTTTTTGGGAAAGCGTACTTGCCTCAAAAACTTTTTGAAGAACGGGAGTAGTAAATGTTTACAGGGAGGTATCCTAAACGGTCCAAGATTGTTCACAAAAGCATGCTAAATATGCAAGTTTTTGTTTCAAACATAACCCTTTATGAACTGATGGCAGCGTTGCATGGGAAGTACACAGTCAACAGCGGCGTAGCTTGCCCCGCAGTGGTAACATACCAAACTTTGGAAGGGGGGGGACACACCCAACTATGGCAAATCTCAAATGGATTCACCCACGTTTCGTCCAAATAGTAAATTTTTCTTTTTTCATCGCGAAACTTCCGAATCTTCCTTCTCCACACAAGAATTTCTTCTTTCTCTATTAACATACTGTTTCTTCCCCGTTTCCCCCTCTGAGAATGCGATTGGACCTTAAAACTTGCATATATGGCATACCTAACTTTGTGTATAATTTTGGGGATTTTTAGGATTTGACAAGCTACTCCCGTTCTTGAAAGAGTTTTGGGGTCAGGTACACTTACACAAAGTTGTCTGTTGCGGATGTTCGGCCGCCCATGAGAAAAATTCCTGCAGGCGCCCAGGGCTGTCACTGTTGGGGTATTGGGGGTATTGGCTGCATGGCCATCCAAACGTCACTTGACCAGTCACTCATATCTTTACTAGAACGTCGGCATTTGCCCGCGTATTGGCCCCACATCATGGCATTCAAGGCAAAAGCTACTACAGCCACCACCAGCCACAGGACGAAAAATACTCCCTCCAATACTCCGGTAGGTAACAAGAAGGGAAACACCGGGGTTCTAGGACATTTGGACCAGTAAGGCTGAATGATTCATACACACCACTCCAGTGTAGAGGCATTAGAAGTTTCAAGATTGTTCACAAAAGCATGCTAAATATGCAAGTTTTTGTTTCAAACATAACCCTTTATGAACTGATGGCAGCGTTGCATGGGAAGTACACAGTCAACAGCGGCGTAGCTTGCCCCGCAGTGGTAACATACCAAACTTTGGAAGGGGGGGGGACACACCCAACTATGGCAAATCCCAAATGGAGCATAAAATTTAAAGTATAGATTTTTATAACAGACACATAAACACTGACGTTGAACTATATGAATTTTCACGTATTGACTTCATTTTTGAAAATCGTTTAAATGGTAGCGCGGTTATGAGTAAAAATTAAAATAGCTTTCAGATCGTCCCAAAGTTTGTTTTTGTATGCTTTATAACTTCTTTTCATCGTTTATGATTGCTTCAAATTAGAGCATATTCAAAAACACTATGTAGCTCAAACATTTTTTTTTACAAGACATATCTTGACTCATGAAAAATTTGGTAATACACATAGGTAAATGCTTGTAAAGTGCCGAGTAAATCAACTATATTTTTTCCGAAAATTTTTGTATTAAACCATCCATAGGGGAAGACGATTTTGGTGCTTCGAAATGTTCAGCGTCTGAAGACAGTATGCTTGCTAGTCAAAGTTGCCTCATAGAAGTCCTAAGATATTTTCATTACTTTTAATTTCGAAAAGCTTCTTTCAGCTGTTGCAGTCGCAATCTAGGGGGTTAAAAATAGGAAGCACACCTAGCCGAACAATCTAAGGTTTAGCGCTTGAGAATTTTCAATTTAGGGTACGGCCTAACAACTTTCGTGAAATTGTGAAAAAATTCTATACATTTTTTTATACGGCGGTAGCTACGCCCCTGACAGTCATCCTACTTGACGCACTCACGACTGCATGGCCGGCCAAGACACTTGACCACTCACAGCTCTTCACCACTGCGTACGGCGTCGGCCTTTGCCCCCATGTGGCGGCGCGACAGCCTGTCATTCAAGGCAAAACCTGCCATCACCACCACTAGCACAGGTTGCCGGAATATCCGCCCGCCAATACTCCGGCAGATACCGCCGCAGACAATCGCAAATCGCCTCTCTAGCACGGCTTACTCGATTCGCGGCCGAAAGCTCACTACGCAACGTGCACCACCGTGCTTAAAGCTTGATCTGCGGTGTTTGTGGATCATTTTGTGCGACTTTACCGGATTTTTTTCTTTGGTTTGGTGAGTATAAAATTCTGCTTTTTACTGTTTCGTTTAAACAGCACTGTGAAATGTGTTTGGGAACGTGAGCTTGGCGTTGTTTATAACTATTTAATAGAATTTATGTTAACCGATGAAATTGCAAACTGACACTCCAATATTCAGTGGAATATTAAAAATATTTGGTTTTCCTGGAACAACAAAAAAACAGTTTTCCTGATTTTTTCAACAGTTTGATGGACATATTGAGAGATATTTGTCTATTAGCTCATATAAATAGTTAAAATGTTTTTTTTGCGTTTCTAAAAAAAGGGAGAATTCACAAAATATTAGTGCTTTATTCACACTAGAAGAAACAGACCAAACAAATGAAGTATGAAGATATGAAGATATCGCTTATTCAAAAATAGTATTACAGAAACATCTATTATTACTTGAACCAACAAAATAGCTGAAGATGCAAGCTTCGATCAGCGGCGTATGTATTCTACCCAGTTTTCACGGGTTATTTTCTATTAGTCTGGAAAATAACATTTGTTTTTGGTCTCCAATATTTCTCAAGTAGTATGATAAAATTGTTTCTCGCTACAAGAAAAAAGCTTCTTACACTCAAGTATGTTAAACTTCAGCCTAGGGTCTACCTGGATGTTCAATTGGTGAATATAAAATCATGAGATGGTAGATTTCTACATATTTCCTTTGAATTTTCATAAAAAAATATTTCAATCTATGGGATATATTCGGATTTATTTTTGTTTCGGTGACTATAAATTTCTTCATATGAGTTTATGGTTGATGATAATAAAACTAGCCTAATTACAAGTATGATGATTAATTTACTATTAAATATTGTGTACTTAACAGATGATACTGATCTTATCGAAGCAAAAGAACATCATGATAGAAATCAATTTGCGGTTTACGAGGATGATTCTATAGATTGTCACGAACATTGGTTTTATGAATACAAGATGAAAATGTAGGTATATTCTCTGGTCCATTTAAATAGCTTCAGGAAGCAAAACATTTGCTATCGGGGGACAAAGATTTTTTTGGGGTTCAACTCAAATGTCTGGGCGTACCTCCTGAATTCCTAGGTACCTACTTACATACTATCAATTGTATATTACTAAACAAATATTATTAAATAATTTTCGCGTTAAATTATGCAAATTATCAAGTCCCGAAGTCAACCTATAATGCTTTTATTGATTGGGTGCCTACACCACTTATTTGGTTATTGATTTCTTTTCAATTATTGATAGAGCATATCTTCATAGGTATTTTTCTGCCTGTATATGTTAGATCGTATTAGATTGAGTCAATGGACTGGTTAAATTATTAATTATTCTACAAATTATATATTCGTCAGATATACATATTTCGAGTTACTCACATGAAGGCATGAAGCTAGTTTGATAACTAAAACATAAAGAAAAGGTTTCAACTGACCAACGTTTAGCTGTAGCATATAGTAACTTAATATTCTACAAATTTTATTTACCACCTTTAGAATCTGTAGACTAGACATTTAGTGGTGCATGGGATCCTAGACTACCCATATTCTTCCAAAACACAATGCAAATTCGGTATTTAAATTTAGCCATTAGGTTGATGGTAAACAAAATGTATATTCTCTTATGCTAATTTAATGAGCTGGTCAAAATATGCTATGTACAAAATTGTATATATGTATACGTATTTTTGATTTTGTTGATGGTATATGTGGAAACACGTGTTGCACGAATTACATAATCTTGACTCCTGTTCCTTCTAATTTTATTGGCATCTGATTAGTGTATAATTAGTTATTGGTGGTCAGTGGTAGACCTATAAGAAAGAAAAATAAAACAAATATACAATGAAACAGTACGGAAGACAGAATATGTAAAAGGAAACAATGGTTTGAATGGAATGTTTCAAGAATTTCAGCTCAAGTAACCTGAATTTCAAAATAGATACTATAACACTATACATTGTAAAAAAATAAGTTAATTTTATTTCGTTCAACTTTGAAGCATAACAGTTAATAAGAGGGTATATTAAATTTTCTGCTTCTTAGCACGTCTTTGTGGTATTTTTTATGTACATTAGAAAATAGTGAAATAATGACGGTAAACGTACTTCAGATAGGTATGGTCACCAAATTGTCATTTAGTTGAAACATTTCATAATTAGTATTTGGCCAAATGAGCAAGTAATATGATAATAATCGTCGAACATACTCGAATTTCATGAGACATTCACTTTGTCCAAATAATGTATCGAATAACAGAAAAAGGAAAAGTTTCCTGTTAAAAATCGTGGCTTATTTCGTTTAATAAATGACTAACTAACTCAAGCATTTGGAAGGTGGTTGTCAAATATTCCTGAAAAGTTAAAAACTTTGTATTGAAATATAAAAGAAATGTGATAAGTTTTTTAAACCATACAAAACCGGAGTTTGACGTTTTTGTAAATCCTAATATCTCCGCCACGATTTTCAAATATCTAAAAGAGATTGCCTAATACTATCTCACAATTAGTGACGAATAACAATTGCTTTGGTGAGTACGCCGTATTTTGGAAAATCTCACACTTCGGGCGGGAATGGCTGTTAGTCGGATCTATGGAGTAGGTTGCTTTTGAACTTCCGACGCAACCCTGTCAACAGTTCATAAAGCATTAGGATAAGAGAGACCGTTTTAAGTAGCATTATACGAGGGATGTCTTTTAAGTTTTGCATATACGAGTAGAAACATAGTAGGCCACGCAAATCGAACGTCAGTACTGAATATTAACCTCACTGTTTAGTAAACTTAAATTCAAAGTTTCACAACAATACGTGCAGTGTTCTCACTACAGTGAATTTTTAAGTGTCACCAACTCATTAGAAAAATGGAACTCAACCGAGAACAGTTTCGCGCCATAATTTATTACAACTTTCAGAGACAATTATCGCAACAAGAATGCCTTGCAGTAGACAATTTCCCGTTGGAATGGAGAATTCAAACGTGGACGGGTGATTCTTAGCGACGATTCCAGGGTGGGTGCACCAAAAACGGCAGTCACCCAGGAAAACGTCGATGGTGTGCGAAAACTCATCGTTGAAGATAGACATGTGACATATCGCGAGATTGAGGCGTCCTTGAAGATCTCAAAGACCTCAATTCAAAAAAACTTACATGAAGAATTAGGAGTAAGAAAATTAGTTTCTCGTTGGATACCCCACCTGTTGACTGAAGAGCAGAAAGCAGCCAGGGTTAATTGGAGTCAAAAAACGCTTGACCGTTCCAATTCCGGAAACTCAAAAAATGTGTCAAGCATTGTTAGTGGTGATGAATCGTGGATTTACCAGAAAATGAACGACAGTCGGCTGTTTGGGTGTTCCAAGTTGAATAAAGGCCAACAAAAGTCATCCGTTCTCGAAGTGATTCGAAAAAGATGGTCGCGACATTTATGTCAAAAGCGGTTCATATTGCAACAATTCCTCTTAATGAGCAAAGAACTGTTACTCCGGATTAGTATACCACCATTTGTTTGCCAAAAGTCATCACCGAGCTTCGAAAAATCAACCCCGAAAGAAGAATCATCCAACACCAAGACAATGCAAGCTCGCACACAGCCCATAAAACAAGGCAGTATTTAACGGAAGAAATCGTGGAATTATTGGACCATCCTCCATATAGTCCCGATCTAAGTCCTAACGATTTCTTTACTTTCCCGAAAATTAAAAAAGACTGCGTGGTCAAAGGTTCCAGTCACCAGAAGAAGCAGTTGACGCATTCAAAAATGACGTTTTGGATCTGCCAGCAAACGAGTGGAATAAGTGCTTCGAAAATTTTTTCGAGCGCAAGCAGATGTGTATTAATCTTCGTGGAGAATACTTCGAAAAACAATAAAGTCATTTGAAATTACCTACCGTGTTGTTTTATTTCCATATGCAAAACTTAAAAGACATCCCTCGTATGTGCCCAATTTGCTTCTTAGATTTCATGATAGCTGGTATCCCGAACCAATTTTTTTTTTTTGTGAGAAATAAGCTTAAAAAGGTCAAGTTACGGTGGACATGCTAATCTACAATCTTCAGTGGGTAATCATTATTTCTAATAAATCATTATACAACATACAGGTATGTCAAAATCGCTGAATTGCTAAAATGGTACCATCAGTACCATCACGTTCTTTTGTTTCCACTAATTATGAGTTAATGCCAACTTCACAGAATGTAAACATAATGTTATTATACATATTGCAACATAGACGTGTGTTTTTGTTGCATTTCGCGTTAGATAATTGGGTCACTGTGTTATAAGGTTTATACACCGAAGACTTCCTTACATTAATTAATAGATCGGTGTATAACGTATGAACTGGTATTCCTGATTTCGCTTTCGTTAAATGTAATGAAGAAATGATGATAAAACGGAAACGCGCAAGAGTATAAGTTAAGGTCTAATCTTCATTGGTGATTTCGCCTTTTTTACTTCCCACGTCATTTGGTGAGGGATCATTGTAATCGCAAAACATTTGGGAAACGACATATTATGATATTCTTTTGGATGCTACATGAAATGTACATCAGTGGCGGCGGAACAACGAGAATAAGACGAAACAATTATAAAACCGCTGTATCTTCGTTCTCTGAGATTGAGACCGCTGCTCATTGCCAAAAAAAATTGGGAGGGTTTGTTGGGGGCAGAGGTTGTAAATGTTGTGATTTCCGATTCTTGAATAATTTTTGTGTCCACTCTCTATAGAAAAATACTGCAACTTCAATTTTTTACAATACCAATACAAATTCATTTTTCCAACAAAAAAGTGTCGAAAATGCCACTTTCACGCAAGTTCTTCCTGTGTTACTTTGTTCATCAGTTCATGAAGGATTATTTTCAGCACAAGCTAGACCATCTTAGAAAAAAGTCAGTTAAAGAGGTCCGCACACTTGTCCATAGACATTCTTTCCTACCCTATCGGTAACACTCACCAAGACCGACACGTCGGGAGCAGAAGCAGTCGTGGCCGATAGGAACGCGATCTGT